ATATATATATATATCCATATCTTATGCTATCCAATGTATCCATTCACCTGCAATTCTGTTACTTGTTCCCTTCCAGTGAGATTATACAGTCATCATTGCTATCAGGTCCCACCCCCTTCCCATGCCCTCAGGGAATCATTACTCCAGTTACTGTTTCTGAAGGTTTATCTATCTTGGCTTTCATTCATTGAATGCTCTTAATTATACAAGTGAACATACACCAGTCTAACAAGATTAATGAGGTAAAGCAAAGACCAGGATAGTAAGAGGAAATATTAAAGAACTAAAGGATGTGGTTCATCAGTGCTATATTACTCCCTAGATTTGTCATCCCTTCCATGTGGCCCTTCTGTGGGGGTCTGTCCACTGATCTTACAGGTGGGTTTGGGGTCTCCACTTTGTCCATGCTCCTTCTTTCATGTCAATTTGATTGCTTGTTTTTGAACTTCTGATACCTATTCCCGTCAGCACTTCATGATCGCATGAGCTGGTATGCTTCCTCCTTGGAGGCTTTCTTGCATCCCTGTTGTTTAACTTCAAGCCTTTAAGACCCTAGAACACTATATCTTTTAATAGCTGGGCACTATCAGCTTTCTTCACCACATTTGCTTATGCCCCCAGTTTGTCTTCAGCGATCATGTCAGGAAGGTGAGTATATTCAGTGCCACATTATGAGAACAAGCCATCCTTGTACTGAGGTAAGATTTAAGTAGCGGGACAAAGTCCATTTGCTTCCTTGTTGTATTTACATATCTATACATATATATAGGCATAAATGTAGATTATATATGTAAATATATAAAGATAGAGGTAGGGATTTATAAATGATCATTCTTAGCATTTTCCCTATCTCTCATGTTATTGACTGTTATACAAGTTATGCAGGTGTGTAGTAATAAATATTCAAACAGTATAAAGTGTCTAAAATGAAATGTAGAAGTTGCGTCCCTCTTGACAGCAGCCTTGTTCTGAGAGGCAAGCCATTTCCCATTCCCTTTTGAGGTCTTCTGCCTCTTCTCACCACTTTCTGCATTTTAAGCAGTAGTTATTGATGATATCCTCTGAGAGCTGATTTCACTCATACTAGCTGCCCCTTTCCCCCATCCTCCCCCCCGCCCAGTGTTGATGTGCATGTTCGTTAGAAGTTTAGATTACATATTTAGCTACCTTTATCTTTTTTTTTCAATGTAATTACTTTTTATTGAATTGTATAGATTTATAATTTCATCTGATTACATAAGTTGAATTATCAATAAAAATAGACATTCAAAGAAAAATAGACATTCAATAA